ATCTAAATATTAATAACAAACCAGAGTTTTTATATTTGACTGGCAACTTAAAAGGTTTATACACATTCGATATAAATTCTTAATAAAAGTGTAACTATAGTAACTTAATACGAAGTAAAAGAATAAATGATGGACTATAATGAAAATTTTCGAATAAAATTTGTGACATGAAAAGTTTGTCAAATATTTTCATTTTTAAAAACAACACACACACACATATATATATATATATACAGCCGACTCTGGATAATTCTAAGTTGGAGGACCAATGAAAAACTTCGACTAATCAAGAGTTCGAATTATTAAGAAGGTAGAGAAAAATCTCCCAAAGTACTCGGACAGAATTTTTTCTAACACATTTAAATTTGAAACTGTGTAATAAAGCAACAATTGTACACATGTATAAAATTTTAAAGTAATTTTTAAAAAGTACATATTATACAGTATAAATTCTATACAAATTTAAAAGTCCTGTATTAAAAGAATATATTCTCAAACACAATCCTACACATCTCTTCTTCACAATAGTGGAATGTATAGCATGGTCACCTGTTAAACGAAAGATATGGACGGCTAACCACAGGTGTGGTTGGTCTATTGTCCACTTGAAGATGGAAAGCAATAAAAGTACATTTTCGCTTGCTGAACCGGAAAACACTAAGAGATGGTCATTAAATGGTCTACGTTACAGAGGAGTCAAGCAGAGACAATACAACACAAAACTTGTAAACTCCAGCCTGTTTGCTACATGACTGTACATGATAGTGAGTACTCGAATTGTAGAGAGTTTTATAAGATAACTTCGTATTATTGCGCGTTGTAGTCTACCCAGCCACATATTTTACTTTGAATTACTGAGTGTACCAAACGTATTGTTTGAGTTCAAAATATCAAGAGTTTTTCTAGGGACTGAGCATATACTTCGAATTATCGAGAGGTTCGTATTATCGAAGGTTTGAATTATCGAGAGTTGACTGTATATATATATAAAGTAAGTTCTTACCTATAACTTCAGTTTAAATAAATATGTAAAAAGTACATGAAATAAAAATGTTATCAATAAAGTGTATAAAGTAATTCATACGTTACGTAAAAAGAATATTGCATATCCTTTTCATGAATTAAAGCTTTAGTAAGTTGTAGAAAAATTAGTTAGTGTGTACAATATATATATATATATATATATATATATATATATATTTGTAAAAAAAGAATTTTCATTTTGATAAGGTTTGAGCAATCAAAGAAATAACAAGTTCATGATACAAAAAAAAAAGTTGTCTCATGTATAACAAGCTTTTATAAAAATAAGTTTTTATACACATTCTTTTTATAATACATTCTGTGTTTTTAACTTGAAATCCTTTTACAGAAAATTTATCTATGAGTTGATGTGGAAATAAAAAGTTCCTTCCTTAATGATCAAACTGAACGTGCTTTTTGTTACCATTTTTTCCTCGTAAAAATTAGCAAAACAATGTTTTTTTCAAACAAGCAATGTAACTAAGATTTTACTTAAATGAATCTTACGTCTATTCATGTCACTATTTGTGGAATCATTAACAAGAATATGCATGATTAGGTCTCTCATTCAATAAAATTACAATACGTTTCTATAATATTAAAAAAAATTTCAATGAATATAAAATTACATTCAACATACGTCAATTCCATTAAAAAAAACTTACATAACATTGTAAGAAAAAGCGAACAAAAATAATACGTTGATAAAATAATGAGTTTTCTTTATTTCTTTAATTGGACTAAGAGAAAGAATGAATACTAAATATAGATTCATTATTTAATGAAGATAAAAACCTATTTAATGAAAAAGAGCAGGTTTTGAGGTATATCATATAAATTTATTTTCGAAATAACTACACAGTTATTTTATTTTATTAAAATATCAGCTTAAAAATATCCTTTAATTACATTTTCTAAATCAAACGATACAATAAGTTTCTACAATTTTATTATGACATTTAAAGTGGGGTATACATTTTTTAAAACAAGTAATAAAAAAATAAGTGAACTACTACTTAGCTCGGCAAATAAAAAAAATAGTTAATTTTTATTAAATAGTTACAATTAATATAGCTATGTATATACATATGACAGAATAACGAAAATAAATGGCAAGATAGAATGCAAATTTTCCTTGCAAGTTTTCCATTTACCCTTCTACACTGGTGTAAGAAATTAAGAGAATTTTTAGACTTGATTGCTTATTTCTAGAACTACTGGACCAATTCTAATGAAGTTTGATATATTCATATATTGATACAATAAAAAAAAATAACCATTCAAAAAAATCAACGAGAGTGCTTTAGACCACAGGACTGAAGTAAAACTTCTTTAGCTCCATCTATATGTATGTATATATACATGTTTATATATATATGTATATTCATAACCATATATTATTTTTTACAAATATTTAAATTTATTATGGGTTTTCATCAATAAATTAATATAGTTGAATATATTTTCATTTTTATTCATTATTTTCATTATCGGATACATCAGTAATTACTGTGGTTGATTGTAAGACCGAGACAATATGCTTATGGTATAAGGAATAAGATACACACACATATGTTTTCGAATGAAAATGAGAAAGACATCTAGCGAAAACTGCGTCGATTGTAGTTCCATGTCTTGTGGTAGGCTCATTTCAATTTTTATTCATTTGTAGCCCTAATTTATCTTGTTGAAAGTTTACCAAGAGTTGTCCATCTCCGGACGCGAAATAAACATTGAAATATCCTGCAAAATTAGAGGCAATGTATAATTGTTTTCTGCTAATTCTTCAGAGCCTACTGTACCATGAATCATAAGTCTTTTATAAAAATACTTTATTATATTATTAACTGTGTTATTGGGCGAAATGTAAGCAACTACCATTATGATGCTTGTTCCATCCTCCAAAACAGAGTGAGCAGCACATATATTACCAATTGATGATTTACCAATATCGATTTCACGAATATATCGTAATAAAATGTCCATGTTCGAAGTTACTATATTCGCGAGGCATCATTCGATTTCTGATAAATTGCCACTCCTGCTGATCCAACATTTTTAAGCTTAAATTTCGTAATACTATTAAAATTCGGGATTTTAACATTTTTATCGTCATTTGACCAGGTATCTGATAGAAACAAAATACTGTTTGAATCAATTACGGGTTCGCTGAAGTCTGACACGTGTTTCCTGAGACTTTGGCAACTGGAAGCAAACATGGAGAACTATTTTTTGTCATTCATGAAATCAAGAATCCTTTTTCCTGTTGTTGACAATGTGTTCAGCGAAGATTTTCCTTTTCAAAAGATTAATACCTTGATAATTACAGTAGGTGGTGAAACCTTAATTATTAATAGGATATTAGGGTATAAAAGACACAAGTCCAATCTGAGGGCACGCACTCGCTCGCTCGCTCACCAAGTCAAGTGAATGTCCGTTCACTCGCTCAATCACTCCTTCACTGGCTCACTCATTCCTTCACTGGCTCACTCATTCCTTCACTCACTCACTCATTCCTTCACTCACTCACTCATTCCTTCACTCACTCACTCATTCCTTCACTCACTCACTCATTCCTTCACTCACTCAATCATTCTACCCTCTTCCCCACTCACTCTGCCCTCTCACACACTCACTCACACACCCTCTCACCCACTCGCTCACTCGCTCGTTCACCAAGGTCATGCGTTTGTCCGTTCACTCGCTCTCTCAGTCACTCACTCGCCCACACGGTCACATACTCACTCGCTCACACACGCACTCGCTCACACACTCACTCGCTCACTCACTCACCCGCTCACTCACTCACCAAGTCAAGCGTGGGTCCGTTCGCCTCACCCGATGACACTTTTCGTAACGCTCCCATCGCCCATTCACCAGCTTACTCCCCAAGTCAAGCATGCGTAAATAAGTTTTACTTCAACAATTGCAATACACAGGCATGATCGAGGGTAACTTTCGTTGGAGTTGAAAGGTATCAAACTGCGGTTGCAGAATAATCAAATAAATGGGTTAGTAGGGAGTATCACTCGAGCCATACTCCCTACTAACAAGGAGCAGCGCCCGAGCAGCGTGATGTCATACTTGAAATAAGGCAGTTTTCTCCATATGAACGTACGGCGAGAATCAGTATTTAGACTGGAAAGGGACTCATTGGGGAAAATAACGGACACTCATTGATTAAATTTTTTTGCTGTATGCACCATGCTAAACGGACTCTCCTCTTCGTAGACGTGAGCAGGACGCAACGAATAGTCTTCTGGAAAATAACCCACTTTCATGAAGTCTTTTAGAAGCGGTCACCTATGATACACGGGTTCAGGTGGCAGTATACAAGTAATGAGAGAGCTGAAAAGCTGCAGACCCTCTGTTACGCTTCGATATAATCGACAAATGGTGATCTTCTCTGGCCGTCGTGCTGCTTGGACAACCTTTATCTCGACGGAACCAGTATCCTGGAACTGTTTCCATAAGTTGCACATGGCACTGGGCGTTAAATTGAACTCACTACAAATCTCAGCTTGGAATTGGCCTGCTTCTAGCATCCAAACGATTCGCCACCTTATTCCAACATCTGAACGTTGGTGGTTACTTATTTTTACTGTTACAATTTGAACTGACTGATTGCTTCAAAATAACACCAAGGAATTCTACGAGGTGTGCTGGAGAACGAAATACGTCTTAACTTACACGCACTTATAAAACCTGTTTTCCTACTGTATCCGCATACACACACGTATAGGATTAAGTATTTGCCGTACAAGATTTGCATTTTTATCAATCAGTGGTTTTTCATTCAGTTCAGTTCTTTTCATGCATTCAATAAAATATGAAAATTCTCTTAATTTCTTACACTAGTGTATATATGGTGTTGGACTACTTTTTTATGTTTTTGTTAATATTTATTCATTAGATAAGTTTAATTATTTCAATAAAATAGTATATTAAACACCAAATCACATTCTCAGAAATTAGGCTATCCCATGACGGATTCGAAGCCATGACCTTTCGATTAGAAGTCCAACGCGCTATAAATTGCGCTACAGGGACACAACGAAATATTTTCATTTCTATATATGGTGTTGGGCTATTATTTTTGTTTGTTACTATTTACTTATTTTTTATATTTATATAATGAATTAATATTTGAAAAAACTGTATTAACATCAATTGTCATCCATTACAAGTTTGAAAAATATATTTGAACAAGAATGCAAGAATAGAAAGTATTTTATTAACGATTTAAAATTTGCAAGGAAGATATATATATAGGGAGAGAGTGAACTAAGAGTAGTAACTGAAAAAGAGACGCTTTCTTCTGTTTGGATATTGGTTATAAATAAAAGCAAGTGGACGAAAAATAATGTAATATGAAATACATTTATTTCTTCAAACACTTATTACATTCCAATAAATGTGTTCACATTTAAATGCATATAGAATTACTATTAATTATAATACCCTTTGAATTGCATGCACATATTATTAAATTCCTAATTATAAGTTCACTTTAAATTTACGATATAATATAGTTACTTTTAAATGTAAATGAACGGAAAGCGAATAATAACGTCACACTTTTCAATTACCTGAGGGCTTTTCATGGCGGACCTCGTAATTTTGAAATATGGTCAAGTGACGAGGATGACACTTGAACTGGTACACACTCTCTTAACTACCGCACCACACCACCGGCAGGACGTTTGAGCTCTCTAAAATTTAGTTTGTTTCGTCCCTCTACATTACGTGTCCTCAGTAGTGATTGGCTCGAAATCATCACAAGCTAACCACAAGTCTATTACCTTTTACATGGTGCATAAATTTTTTCATGCTTTTACTTTTCGCAATAGTTTGCTCACAATTATTTAATTCTTAATACATTATCTGTCTTCATTATTATCCCTTATATAAAATGTATTATTGTGAACTCATACAGCAATATATAATGTAAATATTCCCAGCGGTAAATACGAATACGCCAACAAAAGACTAACCTCTAACTATACTATCTAGTATCTAAAAATATTCCTATAAGCATTCAAAACATATTTATTTTGATCACCTCTATACAATTTAAAACTTGGCCGGATAGCCTTTAAATTACCTTAGTAGTGTTTCAGCCTTTTTATAAAAATTCATTCTTACGGGAATGATCCATGGCTTTGAAAAATTAAGCGATGATTTTTGTTTTGATTTTTCTATTCGTATATGAACTAGAAATATAGTGGCAACTGCTTTTACCAAATATGTGTGTACAGGGAACTATTGTAAGTTTTTATTCTTCTCTTAATCCATAAGGTGTTTATCATAGCATATGCCATAACTAAAAATTTATTCCAAAAATAGCATTGCATTTGATATGGAAATTTTACATGTAATGTTTGTCCCACAAACCTGTTTTAACTACACATCATTTTATATGAATTTTTTGAATTTAGCCCGAATAAAATAATTATTAAAAATTCAAACAATTTCGCTCTCATAGGTAAAGCGCTTGACTAAGGTAAGGTCCTGAATGTTATCCAATATATAAAAACTATAGAGTTTTATTTTTTATACAGTCAGGCTTGTGTGTAATAAAGTATACTAATGAGACATGTCACTTAGTTTGAAAATATATTTTTAAGTTTCACTCATAAAGAAAAACATTTTATTTGAAAAACAACATTTGTGTACTGAACAGTCTCATTTTGGCAAAATGCCAGCGGAAATTAAGTATAAAAATCGTTCATTTGCACCCTTAACGAGAAGGAACATCCTAACAATCGTTCTCGCTTGCAAGTTTAATATCACGGCTTCTAAGAGTTATTTCGGACCATTATTTTCAATAAATAGATGAACCACGCATTAAAATAAAGATCATAGAAAAATTATAAAATAATCTGTTTTGAAAAATTCGCTGGATTTGATTATTTTATTTGAGTTGTAAACTACTTTGATTTTCATGCAAGGAAGTCTTAAAATTTTGTTCTGTATATTTACAATAGTAGAATTCTTGAAATCTTAAAAGGAGATCTTATTTTTATCTATTACAGGAACTTTTTATATACTTCTTATATTCTTTTGTGGAGCCGATATTAAAAAAAAAAAAAAATAGAAGATAACTAGCATATAAATAAATTTTCCAAAATCTGATGTTTTGAGTGGCATTAAAAAATCAAATGTCGACAAATTATTAATATAAGCTATGAAAACCCCAATATATTTTGAAAAACGTAAATAATGAAACTTAAACTTTTAAATTTGACTAAAACTTTATACGTAAAGAAAATATTCCGTTTAAGATTCCCTCTTACACATCACCTGTAAACCACATGTTCATATGTCTCCAACATGTGCATTCTTTGAAATAACTAAAATTAAAAGTTATATACAGTTAATAGATAATTACACTTTTGGAACTTCAATAAAACTGCAAACCACACACACACGTAGCGTTTCTCAAACTAAGGGGAACACCCCTACACAGGGTGTGATAACTCTACCAGAAAAGTACGAGCATATTAAAAATTCGGTAAAAAAGATTATTTAAAAATTATTAAATTATCATTAATAAGAAATAAATACATAATTACACTATTATAAAACAAATGTATCGTTAGTTAACAATGCATTTCATTGTCAATTTAGCAATATTAAGCTAATTTTAACAATTATTATTGATCCCATGGGATTATCATATATAAAATTATATATAAAAATTAACATCCATTTTGTTAATTTGTAAGGGTTATAAATTAATCCCTTAATTGCCGAATGAAAGATGCGTGATTTGCTCCCCAATGCCCCCGTTTTCCACGTAAGCGTTGATATGTGATGCATAGGTAGGGAATAAATAAGCAAATCCTCTGAAATACACTGGTGTCCAAAAGTTAAACATAAATCGTAAAATGCGAAAAACATGGAGAAAATAATGGTAAAATTATTCCAAATTTCTTGCGGATATTAATTGGGTGAAGAAGAAACATTGGGTTTACGCAAAACCTTTCAGTCGACTACGTCCTGGGCGAAACCCCGGCGCATGTCGGAACGCAGAGAAACCCATTAAGCAGCATAGGCAGTTCAGACAAGTTTCGTGCAACTGCTGTGTGAAGTAACGTTGTGAACCATCAAACAAGGTGAATGATGGCAAAAAGACGCCAATTGGATATGTTTACGAAAGGAAGAATCGTTAGAATGCTGGAATTCTCACGATCACAAACCGAAGTGTCTCGAATTCTGAATGGGGACGAGTCTGTGATCTCAAGACTGTTGCAGAGGTTTCAAAGAACGGGAGATGTTACCCGACAACCAGTATCAGGTTGACCAAGAGACAGAAGCCCTCGCCAGAAGCGATATCTGGTAATAAGTGCGCGACGTCAGAGGGGCAGTACTGATAGAGCACTGGGTTCAGCGGTCACAGTCCCCACAGAAATACGAATTTCGAGACAAACTGTTTACAGGAGATTCAATCATGCTGGCCTGTATGCCAGAAGACCAGCAGTTTGCATTCCCCTCAGGTCTGCGCATAAACGCGCTCGTTTGAACTGGAGTTTGAAACATTAACTTTGGAGTGTGGGAGAGTGGGCCAATGTGAGTAGTGATTCTCGGCGGGTAACGATATGGAGAGAACGTGGAACACGTTTTGAACCAAGAAACATAACGGAAAAACGTCATTTTCCATCAAGGGGAGTAATGGTATGGACAGGCATCATGATGGACGGCCGCACAGACCTCCATTTCTTTGACACGGGGTCTGTGACTGCTCTAAGATACAAAGTGTTGGGTTGAAGCGAGAGAACTATTTTTTCTGGCGTAAGAATATCTGTGTGATACGCCCATGCGTTCTTTTCCCGCTTCCTCCAACGCACTTCTTCTACGGAGACCACACCTCGATGTATACGCTGTGTGCTATGAACTTTATTTATGTTGTGTGCAGTATTCTTAATCGTTTTATTTGTTCGTCCATAATAAACTATGCAGTTCAGAAGAGGTCTGAAGAATTATTTTACAAAAAGAACAACACAAAGATGAAGTTCTTAAGCATTATGTTCGCTGGTTTCAAGGTGCTGTCGGTCCTGACTTCATATTCATTGATGATAATGCGCCATGTCACCGAGTGGTGCTGATTGATGACTTCCTTGAAATGGAAAACATCCAGCACATGTCGTGGCCTGCGAACTCCCCTGATTTGAATTCTATTAAGAATGTATGAGATATGCTCGGGAGACGAATTGCAGCCCTTTCGCACCCACCAAGCTCCATTACAGAACTGAAGAGAGCTCTCCAAGACGCTTGGAACCGTTTGAGCCCACAACTCATTCATCATCTCATAGCAAGTATGGTAAATCGCTGTGAAGCGTGCCTGGCTGTCAGAGGTGACCACACGCCTTATTAAACTGCACCATCAGTATTTTAGTTAATGTTTTCTTTCATTTTTTTATTAAAGTGTGAATCCTTGCTCTGTTCAGTTTTCTTTCAAACTGCTACCTTTGGATAATAAAATTAATTATTATCATTCTTTTGATTTGCTTCCTTATTTTACAACCATTTCACACTCGCATATCACGTTTCCCTCCATTCTGATTTACAGTTCCTTCTTTATTCACATAATTATCAATTATGCTTAACTTTTGGACACCAGTGTATATATAAGTAAATCCTTGACAAACACACATACACTGTCAAGATCTTTTTATTACATTCCAAAGCCATCGGTATAATTTTATGAACAGCAGTGCACAGAAAAGATTGTACTTCAGAAAAGCATATATATACGTACGGTAAAATTAACGATTTGACTGTGTGAGACGTTCATGTACGCCGGTGGTATTTAAGAGGTTATAGGTGAAATATTTAGCTTTATTGTCAATGTATAGTATTATCGAATTCAATACATTGTTATTGCATGGAGGAGGGGGAAGGCGATGAAAATTATGATTGAATATTTGGCCGCAAATATTGAAAGTTTAAGAAGCACTTCTTTTAATAATTTGTAAATCAGATAATCCATTTTTATAATTTTTTATGAGCTAAGATTGATTAAATAACTGTTTCATTAAAGTAATATT